AAAAAAAAAAAAAAAAAAAAAGAACAACTACTAAACGAACCCTTTACTGTATCTTGGTTTCTAGCTGTACAAGAGTTAAATGTTTCACATGATATATCAACAAAACTCTGCCCTGTTCACAATGGAACACTTGAAGGGGGAAAAGATCATCAGGGTTTTTTCATGAGCCACTAGTTTCCTTCTGGAAAATGTTTTACTAATCCACGGACTATTTCAAATCTCATGAATAGACATGAATAAGTTATTCATGTCTAATTTGGGTTATTTGAATGAACACTAAAATTATTCTTATCTATTGACCATCCACCCATCGTATATATTACATACACATTTTTTTTTTAACAATAGCGAATAATCCATAAATTTTTCTCTGGTACTTTCTGGTTGGCTACCTTGAGTTTACAAAGTGGGTGGATTTTAAGGATATCTGAAATTGTTGAAATAAAGTCCAGGGAGGTAGTCCCTTTCATGCTTAGGCTGTGCAAGCATTAAAAAGAGAGGAAAGTGGGCCGGCTGAGTGGTTCAGCTGGTTAAGAGCTCACTTGGGAGCATCAGCTCTGAGCAGCAGGGCTGCGGTTCGGATCCCACATTGAGGGCCAGTGACTCTCGCCCTCTGCAGCTAAGATGATGAACAACGGCTCTGTCTGGAGCTGGGCTGCTGTGAGTCGCCGGTGACGGCGTAGGCGGCAGTAGGGCTGCAGTGGGCTGCCGTGAGCTGCGTGAGTGGCTGGCAGCCAGCGTGAGCGACTGGTAGCTGGTGTGAGCTACCGGGAGCCACTGTGAGCGGCCGACCAATGACCGGCAACCAATTGCCTCCCCTGGGGAACAGCGCAATGATCATACCAACATGGGCCAGTGAAGCGACGTCCTCCACAACTAGACTGAAGAACAAAATAGCAATTTGTCTACCTGTCTGTTCCCCTTCCCCGATTCTCCAACGCTGTTCCCCTCCCCCAATTCCCCAGTAAAATCTTAAAAAAAAAAAGAGGAAAGTTAAGAACATTTTAAAAAGAACAACAGTAACAAGATAACATGTTTCTCGCTATATAATGGCTCTCACCACTAAAAAGCAAGTGACCATTTAGTGGTTACTTAACAGGACACCCCACTACCACCCATGGCAATGCGATAGCACAACAGCACGAATCCAGGCAGTATCTAAAACTCAAATCGTATATCGGTGTCTTTTAAAATGCTATCAAGAGCTCATTAGTAAAGAGCATAAAAATAAACCCAGAACACTATTTCAACAGAAGCAACAGCTACCTCGTAAATGTGTTCCACCAGCGGCCCAACTCCCTCCTCTTTGCGGGGCTCCTCTTCCGGTTCCCAGTTAGGAATAGGCAGAACAATCTGCGGAGGGTGGGAGACTCTGAAACAGGGAATTATATACGCATTAACTGCTGCTGATGGCACAGGTAAAGAATGCTTCGCTCGTGTGTAGTACAACAGCGGCAGGAAAAGTGCCTCTCAATGTATTTGAATAAATATTGCCCTTAAGGAAGAGTATTGAAAGTGATGTTCAGTAAAATCAGTAAAGGAATAGTGAAGGGTCTGAAACATCCACCATCTGGCTCAGAGACTGTTTTACAGCATCTTATCTCTTGGGCACTAGGGGGCAGCGTAGAGAGCGTTCCTGAGTTGAGATGGATAATTTAACCTATACATACATAAGTACAGAGGGTGCCAAAAAAGTATACACATTTTAAGAAAGGGGAAAAACTGTATTAAAATTACGCTGATGGTAACCACTTTGAGCACCTCTTGTAATTGCAGAAGTCAAATGTGACTTGTATTCATCTTTTGTTATAGGTATATATTATTACAATTTTAATAGTTTTTTTCCTTGCTTAAAATGTGTATACATTTTTTTGCACCCTTTGTATATACATTTATCTATAGATCCTGTGTGTGTGTGTGTGTGTGTGTGTGTGTGTGTGTGTGTGATGTGTAATTCCTGCTTTAAACCATATCAAGAAATGGGAATTCTTTTGTGACTAAAAATCTAGAATTCTGCGTGGTGTGTTAAATGTCCAGTTGTGAAGAAATGTAGTTCCCAGCTAAATACTTCATAGTAGAAAAATGACCACCTGTATATTCTTTCTTAGGTTTCTTTGGTTTCCCATTAATTCAGCCGTACCTTTCACAAGGCCAGGCCTAGAACCAAAACAAAACAAAGCCTGTTTATGTTCTAGAGTAGTCTTATAGATAACTCAAGGGTGACAGAGAGAGCTCAGTGGTGTAACCATGTAGTTAAGTACATGTAGTTAAGTACAAACTAGGAGTTGAATTTGACGCATAGGTATTTTTGCCTGTAACTTACAACTAGAGAGTGAGCGTTTGATGAATGAAATACAGTACATGGCATTATTTCATATTAAAAGCTGATTACGAACCAAATCATTATTTTCACAAAATCTTAGAAAGGCTAATTCTTAAAATAAACCCACAATGCTTTCTAGACATTTTTAGCTAAAAGATAGCATTAAAAGAATTCCTAGGCTTTCAGCTAAAAGTAACTTCAACAAATAATTAACACAGCCGATAGCAACTTCAAATGTTATCTTTTTGTCCTCCCTGTGGTAATCTTTTTTCTATAGCAGCAAGTAAACTTTATGGGGTTAAATTCTGACCCAAGGGCAAATAATTTAATGTTTGTGAGTCTCTATTTCCTCATCTGGAAAATTATGATAAATGTTTTGGGTTGTATAACACAAATAATCAGAAAGCATCTCAAATGCTTTTGGTCAAAGTTAATTTGGCCACAGGTCTTCTAGGGGTGGGTAGGAGAAGTACATTTTAAACACTGAAAATCCACAGAAATGCTACTAAATTGTAAAGTTCTTTGCATTCATCCTCAATCTGTAACTATTAAATAAAAAGCGCAGGGCACAGCATTGCTGGGCCGGTACCTCAACATTCTCTACCCTTAAAGTGGTTTGTTGTGATGCCACTCGTCCTTTCCTACTGATGTGATTAAATCATGTTTAGATCAAACAGGGGACTTCGTGAGGAGAAGAGTCCAGAACATGGCAAGTTGTTCTCACCAGAGGAAATCCCATAGAGTTTGGGCTTCCCTTCCCACAGAGTCTTGATGATCTCACCACCCAAAGCTTTACTTTGCTCTTAGTTTCTTAGAGAGTTGATTCCATGCCTACTTCCATTATGAGGCTCTAGAAAAACCTCTTTTGTTGACGTTGTTTTTGTTCTTATGGCCATAAATCCTCCAGTGCCATAGGATCGTAAATTTAGACCTTGGCTGGTATCCTGGAGACATTGTGCTCAAAATCCCTCATTTTATAAATGAAAGGAAAACTGATGTCCAGAGAAGTAGAGGGGTTAGTTACAGGTGAAGACTATAGCTCAGCTTTACTCGGTACCATCCACTCTATTTCCAACACATAGAGCACTACAGGGGCCACTAAGCTGCAGGGATTTTAGCAAACACAACTTGAAACCTCCTGGCCCACTTCTGTAACAAAAATCCAATAAAAAAATCTATAAGTAAAGTTATCACAGGGCATTGCAAAATCATTCAAAAAGCATGACTCCAAAATTTCACTTCTCTACCCTCTTAAGACCTTGTCAAATCTGGGGAAACCATGGGAAAGAATGGCTCTCTAAAGATTCCCAACTACATAAGTGAAGCATTGTTCACTGTTTTCAGTTATTTTTTTAGAAAGAAGGAAGGAAAAAAGAAGGAATATCATTAACTAATTAACCTAGGATGAACAGCCAGTGTAGTGATCTAACCACCTTTACTGAATAGCCCTTATATTCTAACATGGAGGATAGAGCATTATTTCATGAAGACCCTCAAGTAATAAGAAGATTGGAGGTACTCATTGCTAACACTGGACATTAGGAAGGGCTCTGAGGGAAAGCGATGAATTTGGTTTCTGATAAATTAAAGTCCACCTGTTCTCAGGAAGCTTAAACCTGATGACGCGGTAGTATGGTGTGAACTCAATGTTCAGAACTGTTTTCAAGCCTTGTTAGTCCAAAATAACAGATTACCATTTATTGTAGGGACCAGTGTTGGCTCTACCTGCTGTAGATAGTATCTATTCACAAAATGGTTATTCACGATTATAGGCTCTCTTAATACAAACCCATTCAATCCTGATTATTTTATAAAAAATAGAATTATTCCTTGAGATCTCAGTATATGTGGTGCTGCTTCTTGTAACCAATTTTACTTCTTATTGACCTATGCTAAATGAATCCTTTGTACCATCAAGTGACATGTTAATCCACTTAAAGGCAGTGTTGGCATTACCTGGCTTTGAAACAAATGAAACAATTCTCAATATTTTTTTTCCATTCAAAGAAATAAATCCATTTGAGTTTATTTTTAAAATTCTAAAAACAATGGTAAATTAAAAAAAAAGAACTATTAGAGATAGTACATGATACCATATATTGGAATAAACACCACTGACCAAAAAGAAAATTAGATTTTCCTGAAGACTGAACATGGAAGATTTTCTACACAGTAGCTATTTATTTGTTAAGAATTAAACATTGGAACTAGTATTTTTGCTGAGTATTTGGAGGAAAGAGTTTACTTCGTGAAATGACTAAAAATAACTTTAACATTCTCTTAGAGAAAAAACTATGGTCAACTGTTGAACATTAATCTAGTAATTAAAATAATTGCACTCACATTAGAATCCCAATTTTAATTACCAGTTTTGATTATTGGCAAAGTGAATAGAAAAGTGCTTATTTTTTTTATTTAGAAACATTGGTGCCATAAGTGTTAACAGACATACATTTGAAAATATTTATCTCATAAAAATGAATATGTGAGAATAAATAGTTACATCAATCTCTTCCTTGGACTGAGTTATGTCTTATGGAATAAAAACAGTTCCTAATTTAAAATTTAATTTGGAATCAAACAGTTTCAGTTTATTTTTGGTTAGCAAAACAGAGGCAGGCCACGTTTAAAGGAGATAAAATTTTATATATACTAATTGTGATTTTTTAAGATATAAAAATAAGATAGCAAATAATAATGCTTGATAATGTCTGTGTTTTCATCTCTGATTTTTTTTCTATTTTTTTTTTTCTGTGCTTGGGGCCAAGGAGCTGGGACTCTGTTCACATCTTAGATAAGTAGGTTAGCGAGAAGACCATTGGTGTGAAGAGGGTTTGGAAACAGGCAGCAATGACTGAATCAGAGGCAGTGGCCTGAAGTAGGTGGTGATGGCAGAAGCCGGACTGGATTTCCAGAATGCTTCAACACTCCCTGAGATCCTCAGACTTACTCTGGAAAGGTGTTGGAGCCAATTCCACAGAACTGGGGCTTGAACACACCCTGTACTCAGTGTGTGGAAGCCGAGGATGTCTTCGTCTCTGATTTTTAAAATAACCTTTTGCTCATCAAGAGAGGGATGAGGGAATTAAATTAGAAGTGCACAAAAATAAAACATCTAGATTGGCTCCAAATATCTGTAAATCAAATAGATCACTTCCCATGAGTCCACTCATGAGTTAAAGAAGAAATCTCAAAGGAAATTAGAAAATATTTTGAACTGAGTTACAATGAAAACCTAATATATCAACATTTTGGCATGCTACTAATGCAGTTGTTAGAAGTTTACAGCACCAAATGCTTATGCAAGAAAAAAGAGAGGTCTCTAGTCAGTGATCTAATTTCTACATAGAGGAATGAGAAAAAGAGAAAAACCAACCCAAAGTGAGCAGAAGGAAGGAAATAATAGGAACAAAAGCAGAAACCAACTGAATAGAAAACAAAAACAAAGCAAATAAAAAGATTTAAAAAAAATCAATGAACCAAAAAAACTGGTTCTTTGAAAAAAATCACTAAACTCTTGGCAGACTGATGGCAGGGGGCGGAGTGGGGGTGGGGAGGTGGGGCAAGGCAGGTAGAAGATACAACTTGCCAATATTGGGAATGATTAGGGGACCTCATTAGAAGTCCTACAGACATTAAAAGGAAAATAAGAGACTATTAGGAACAACTTTCGAAACATGTAACAACTTACATGAAATATACAAATTCCTTGAAAGAAAAACTACCAAAGCTCACTCACATAGAAATAAGAGAATATGAATAGGTTTTTATAAGAAAATGAAATTGAATTGTTAAAACCCTTCTTTCATAAACAAAAACCAAAAATCAACCAACCAACAACCCCCCCCAAAAAAACCCCCCAAAAACAAATAAACATAAAACCCCCAGGCTCAGATGGCTTCACTGGTGAATTTTGCCAAGTATTTAAGGAAGAAATTATACCAATTCTACACAAGCTCTTTCAGAAAATAAGAGCAAATAGAGAAATATTTTTAACTCATTTTATGGGGCTAGCTTCTCCCTGTTACCAAAATCAGAAAAATATATTT